TCATCGAGCCAAAAGCGATGCCTACGGAATTGAAGACTTGCGCCGCAGCATTATCCAGACCTAAACATGATTGATAACAGTATAATTAATTTGAACTAAAGATAACTGAAAAATGACAAAATGGAACAATCATTTTATTTAAAATATATATATTAAAAAGACGTCACTGTGATCTGAAAGTGAAATATAATTTTTTCGAACGCAATTATGCATATATATATATTTTATTTGTGTCAAGTCACTCATTGTTTACGAGGAATTAATTATTTTACGTCACCTTCGCATCGCCGAGCAATTCCCAGCGTGGATGAAAAAAGAATTGTAGACCTTTCGCGGCACCTTCTAGAGTGAGAGAACGCGTGAGGAAGACCACGATTAGGAGGAAAGGCAGCGTTGCTGTGAGATACCTCACTTGCGCTGATGACTTAATGGATTTCCAAATGGAAAAATATACCATAATCCACGCGGTTATCAAACAGGCCACAAGCTCCCATCGCAAAACCCCCGGTTCTTCAATGCCGCTACTAATTTGCAGGACCTTGTTGCTAAATGGAAAAATTACTTTTTTGTAAATACTTTATATGCGCGTCTTATATGATTTTTTATGCACAACATAAAATTTATATACATATTTAAAATTGTTTTGAAACAGATTTATAACAACAGTAAAAATTAACAAGTTTTGATTTTGAAAAATTACTCGAAAAACTCCTCGGACGGTGTTCTTGTTGAGTTCGGTCGAGTTCGATTATCGACTCCATAACTGGGCAGCCAACAACGCGGCGAGTTCCATAAATTGTCACAACGTGACCATGGCTGCTCCGCTCGAAACGCCGCAAAGAAATAATAAATTGCGTAGGCTATTATCACATTATGATAGGTTGATAGCAGAAACGATATCACAACCGACGACAAACCAGCTCCTATAAAGATAGAAATAATGTAAAAATTGTAGAACACATGGCTAGATTCGAATTAAAATTCAGAATTTTCGAAAAATTGCTTCCACTCGCAAAAGATAAAGATAATTTTTATTTAAATAATATTTTTGAAATTAATTGCGTGTTTTAAGTTAGCGCACTTTACAATATAAAAGTGAGCGGACAAAAGTGAAAAGCTTTTTAACGAACAGTCGTTGAATTTTATCGACGGTCTATTATGACTTATTCATATACCTTTCAATAACGGGCATACTTGACCCAAAGCGCCGATTGGGCCGCGACGAGTGAACTGCCCGATGCTGAGTTCCATGTACAACAATGGTACTCCACATACTACGAGTATTAAAAAGTAAGGCACGAGGAACACACCTGGAAATGATGCGATCGATATAAGTGTCTGAGGCGGCCGATACGAGGCGTCTGTAATTTTCTACTCGGAAATCGTTCGTTTTTTTTTCTCCCGAGCAGAAAAAAATTAATATATCTTTGGCGAGTTTGCCAAACGTTTCGCTAAACATGTTTCACGCGTGTACGTAATAATACTCGACGTTAATCATACTGTGGGCAGTGGCAAGGTCACTGGATGTAACTCTTTATTCGCAATAAACGATGATCGTAGTGACGTGGATTACGACTTAATTTGACATGGAGTGTTTAATCGCCGCGATGATAGGTGACGATTAGTCAGTTGTTGGCAAGTTTTCCTGAATTCACGAACTCGCTGTTTGCTTGTATCAGCTTACCGTCTCGAGTTCACGAACGGCTTTTTACATATTCCGCAGCGATTAAAACACGGTTAGCTGGACGTTATTTATTATTTTTTTTTTTTTTAAGATAAAAGAGATCTTGTTCGACGCATTTGTGCAAATGCATAACTATATCACATATGTAATTTGTTTCGCACCTCGGGAAGATGTAAATTAATCCCACTCGGTAGCGTGTTATATTTCGCGTTGCGCGTATAAATCATACCGCGTTATCCGATCTGTTTCCTCGTCGCTTCAATCTCGTCGAACAACGCGTGGATGGCAGTTTTCATTTAGTCCGGGCGGCGATACAAATAATATATGCGATCATATACTTCAAATAAATTATCGCCAGATATTAAACGTGGACGCGGAGATAACAATCGGCCGATTCACAATGTGACGTATCAATAGAGATTGCAGGCGATTTAATTTCTGGCGAAAATCCAATCGCATCGTTACAAGGCGGATAATGACGCACATTCGCGCTAATGCTGTTACAGTTATTTGCGACAATGTCGCGTCTTTATCATGAAAATGCAATTTAGTGTTGCGGCACAATGAATACCGAAGCGCGTGCACATCTCGTGCAAGGTAGAACCATATTATTTCCCTTGATTTTCCGGTCTTCCCTTTAATATATGATTTCGTAAAATTACACCCGCGGTATATTTTTATAGTGGTCCTTGCGTGTTATTTGTACAACAAATTAACTTGCGCGTGCACGGATTGATTAAATTGCGCAGTAGTTCCTAGTTTTTATATACGCGGAAATATACTCAGCAAAGATAGAATTAAATAAAACTGCCTTTAAATTCTTTACAAAATTATTTTAATGAAGATAAATTTGTGATTTAATTAATTTATTAATGGCTTAAATTTTGCTCCTTTTTTGCAAATCTAGCTACTTTACATTTTTATTTATGTTACAGAATCATTAAAATCATGGTCAGATATTTTTTTATTTTTTGTATAAACATCAGAATCGTGCTAGTAGCTTTGCCAGCTAACCAAATATTGGCTTACGAAGACTACGTATTTTGACACGCAATCGGCACGCGTTTGATAAAATCGAGACCTTGCCAATCCATTTTAGTGCGGGGCGTTGATCGACCTTTGATTGTTTCGATACGATCTTCCTAATTTTCACGCACAGGTTTTAAATAGTTACCCGAGCGCAACAGTGAATCGTTTGAATCGTCCAAATCGAATCGCGTTATTCGAGCCAGTTTTCCGGCTCTTCAATTTAGACCGGCAGTGCGCCAGTGCGGTGATACTCGTCCGATTATTTCCACCGGTGTCATTGAAATCATTTACCATGCTCGTGCGGAGTAGCCGTGTTCCGGCAAGGTCATGTATCAAGTTCCGCGAGCGAATTGCGCCACGCATCCGGGCTCCGGATGCTTCCAGACTTTGAAAATTGCCGGCAACACGATACGCGCTCACGTTGCAGGGATTGCAAGAGAGCACACGCTCTTGCCCTGAATCGCGAACCCGGCTTACGCAAGATGTCACGATTTTCACCGGATCCGCCTTAATTCGGTCTTCCGCAATAGGTTGTAATTTTTCCCTCATTTGGAGCATGCGATTTTTATTCAGTAATGACACTCTTTATATCTATGAAGCTAACCGCCCAGTAACAATTTAAGTGTTAAAATTGTTATCTTTTAATGACATATCATTCTCGTAATAACATAATGAAAAAAAATTGGAAGATATATGTAAAAGACGCTTAAAAAAAAAGAGATAGAAACGTTTCATGGTTCAAGTTTGTAATGTGTTTGATATTCGTAAAAATTAGAGGACAATAGCTCGGACTGTTGCTTTGTCAGCTGTTTCGCTACTGACGTTTTCGTGGCGTGCAAAATCGCTGCGTACTGTTATCACAGTTATGCTAATCGCAACGAGTCGTGTCCCGATTGTGTTGTCCGTATTATTTGACACGTTATATGAATATATTTCGACCTTATATCTGTAACGCTTACGTGTCTCTCCTTCATTTTATTTTCTTTTTCTATTTCTCGCGTCGCAAAACTCTTTTAACACTTGGTGAAATTACATATGAGATTCACGTCACGATGCCACGATTGCGCGCAATTTACGTAATAGATTAATACATTAATCGTGAGACTCACCGCCGCCGCTTTTGTAGCATAAGTAGGGAAATCTCCAGACGTTGCCGAGACCGACGGAGTAGCCTATGCAGGCCAGCACGAATTGCACTTTATTTGCCCAATGAGGCCTTCTGGGTTGTCGATAATCGCCGGGATCATCCGCATCTCCGTCGTCGAAACTAGTGCACGTGGAAAGATCGTCCTCGAAGCTACAAAAATGCGATGCGCGTTGTGAAGCTTTTATATTGCAAATGCAGCAGAACTAGAACGAAAGACAGCGCGGAATGCGAAAGAAAAATTGAGAGAACTCCGGGAAAAATGTCGCGAGTATCAAATTTACGAGTTATGACGTTAGCGGAAAAATATTGAAAATAATAGCGTATGACTAATATGAATGGAATGTTTTTATATACTTATGAATACATATAAGTATATATCGATTACAAATTCTATTTTTTATCAATATATTTATTAATTATCGGACGTAACAAGCACTTGGCTGAATGTCAAATAATGTAATTTAATCACTGCAATGAAATTTGAAAATTAGCTCCTGTCATGTTTTTTCATATACCTTGAAACAATAGATCGATGTAGAATTGTTATTACCGTGAGAAATTTCTTAAGTATTTAATACTCTTACACCTTGTATTGTATGTAAATAGAAAATGCTTTATGCATTTATTTGATGGAAAATCATACTGAGCTGGTCACGCGTCAGTCATGTTACCGGCGCATTTACATGATGACACGCGTCCGTATACAAGTCCGGTAGCAGCTATTAAATATTCATCGTCATTGTTTATAGAGCACGATAGTCATCGGTAGAACGCAGTAGTTATCGAATTCGATCATCGTGATACTCGATTAATGCAGTTCTGTACTACACGAAATCATAGATTACCAATTACAGGCTGATTTCGCTCGCGTTCGCGCTTTGCGGACGTCGGAGGCGGCTCACCGCAAACAGATCAATGTTGAAAGAATTCAGTCGTATATTATGATAAAGTGTCGCGCGAAATAGCGCACAACATAAAATCGACCTTGCGCGGTGCATTACGTAAGCATTGAGATCGGGCAGGAATTTTTATGCGTTTATCGCATAAATTCATGCTTTACAGTGCGGTGAGCGTAGAAATGGTGTCAGGCCATGGGCGGGCAGAGGGGCAGGAAAGGGCGGTCGACAATGCTGAAAGATATACGCGACGCACCTGTGTACATTCCCGTTCATTTCACAACGGAAAACTAATACACACCACGGGTGCGAGAGTATCGCGGGCGCGATAATGCGCACCATTACTCGCATAGTGTCACTAGATTTAAAAAAAAAAGAAAAAAAATGCAATGCCATCGCGAACGTGATGAAGAGCATCTGATGGCATTGTATAGTGACAAAATTTTTGCAGACAACTTGATTTTGTTTCTTATTATAGTATGCAATGTAATTATTTTTTATTTATCGCGGAATTTACAGATGATCTCGATCATTTCTTTTAATCTCTTATCATGAGTTTTATAATGATAATTGGAAAAATTGGATGTTTTTCTACATCGGATGTGATTTAATTAATTTAATGAGGGACATTTAATGAGGGAAAATAAAATGTCAAGATAGATACGCGAATTTCTAACGTTCAATTCCTCATTTTGGTCCGTTAACAATCTCACGGCGAGCGGTATCATTTTCGCAGAAGAACCACGCGCACGCTGATTCAAAAACGTGACGTGACGAGCTCTAAATGTAGGACGGCGATTACGGGTCGTTTCAAGCGCCGTCCCGTTTCAATGGAAGAAGCGGGACGGATTCGTAACTATAAGCCACACCGCACGAACACATGAATTTACAACAACGGCTATGGTCTTACATTGTGCACCTATTATCCACTTACGTCTCCGGGACGATACGCCGGAATTGCAATCCCTGGATGACGAGACCTGCCGGCTTCGCGTCGAGCAGCTTAGATGGGTAGCGCATCTCTCGTCACGTAGAATCCGCCGCGGCTGGATGAGAGATGACACTCTAATCGGGGTAATCGAAACCGGTCTAATTTAAGTGAGTTCAATTTTCGATGACACAGATACGCCGGACGTCGCGTCTCATGAATAGAGACGCATTTTCGCGTCTGTATGCAGTATCGATGTTTAAACTCGAAATTATGCCGGAAATTATACCGGTTTCTATCTCGGGCTCTAACACGTACACACGGAATCGATCCTGATGCAATAGCTACTGCACTTTAGAGCAGATCGCAGCGATGTCGATTATCGCTATTTGTGGTAAACTGAGAGTCAATTTCATCGTTGATTAACTAACTTGACCCTTGCTCCTTTCTAGATCACAACCCTGGCTATAATGCAGGTGTATAGTGCGAGGATTCTATCAGCGGCGGTTAGTGTTAATGAACAGCACAATCGATCCTAAATTTTCTATCTAAGATGACCTCGGGCGGATAATTAAGCGAAAAGCTGATTTTAGCAGCGACAATTAATTTCGACTGTCAATCAAATCTAATTTTATGCGCGAACACCGTGTAATTTTAAAGAAATTAATCCGCGAAAACTTACACATTTTAAAAGTATAAATGTAATTTATTTCAATTTCTTTCATCAATCCATTTTAATTTTTTTACGTCAAACTTTAATGAATTCCCTTTTACTCTGCATTTTTTTCTATTTTAAAACCACGATTCTTTCTCTAATTTAAAATTATGATTCAGAATAGAGCAAAAAGTGTCGTAATTAGTTAATTATTATTGATGCAACTGACCTTTAGTAACGTGAAGAAATTTTGTAACATTATATCCGCGCGCTCGCTACTGCATCAACGCGACGAAGCGAAGTGGCGAATTTGCAACTTTAGATGTAATTAACACGCATTAGGCAAGCGGGTTCGGAAAGTTTTACGATAATCTTTAATATTTGAAGATAATTGCTAAGGTAGTTACAATCTTCCAAGTTACCGTGGATCTTTCCTACTAAAACTAACATCAAGTCGCAGCTTCATTTTTATGTGTTGCGAACATGGTTTAACTTATTCAGGATATTTGCACAAAATATTAGCTGATACGTGAGAAACATATGGCAGATGCGATTTCTTAAAAACATTTTAATTTATTTTTGATATTAGTCTACATTATTATATTACTCTATATTATTTTAATATGATTTTAAAATGATTTTAGTATGATTTTAATGTAATTTTAATGTAATATTAACATTTTAAGGAAAAAGATTGAAATATTAATTACTATATATTTTTGCAAATTAATGTCAACTCATTCAAACTTATTTTTGCGCGTGTTATATTATCGTCTATTTTTCTTGTTTGTTTATTTTTAAGATAAAATGGTCTCAATAAACTATTAAAATTCAAAAATAGCACAAATATTCAAATCAAATGTGTGTCAACATTTTTCTTCTGAAAATATGTTTTATCTCTGAGTGTTATTTTTACCGTTTATTGCAACTATTTGTGCCTTTCATAAAATACGTGAACTAATAACCGTTGCCGTCAGTTTAAAAAGGATTATTTATCTTTTAGAAATAATTTTTTTATGATAAAGAAAAGAAAATTAAAATCATTTGAAGAAAAAAAGGATTTTTAGAACAGAAATACAAGTATTAATTTGTCACATCATTTTCGTTCAACGTCGAACTTGAGCATTCCAATATTACGAAACAAGATGCGAACATAGCGCGATTGTTGCACTTCATAGAGATTCGTTCATTCTTAGAGCGCAAACGTATGTAAAAGTTGAACTCGAGTTAGGCACGCACGCGACGAGGAGCACGGCGCGTGATTCGCATTTCGCTTTTCTTCGAAAGTGCCGCGACATAAGGCGTAGGTAATGTATCTCACTTACGGCGGCGGATGTACCACGTTAAGCAGCTCCGACGGCGATGTGGGAACTCTACGTATTGTGAGCTTCCGGCCATCGGAAGAGCCCAGACCGATCGACGCCAGGGACCTGATCGAGATCGTGTCGGGGAACGTGCGGGCCTGCATCTCGTTCGCCGAGTCCGCGTATAGGATGGAAGCCCAGACGGGCGATGGCTGATGACAGCAGGGACACTGTTGCTGATTCTCGTTTATAATGACGGGTGTCCTCGGCGAACGCGCGTTGGAACAATAATATTGCCGCGTCGCGTGCTGCTGATCGACGCTTTTGACGCTCAGTCTGCCGGGACTATGCGGTCCGTTGTCACGACCCGGGCTCGACCTGGACTCAATCTGATCCGCGATCAGCGGTCGTGACTGCGACCACTGCGGATGAACTCGATCCTGAACAGTCTCGATACTGTCATCGCGATTAATCGTCCTTCTCGCATTGCCGTTGCTCGCGCTTGTCGGCGCGATGACGATTTTACGTCCAGCGGAATTTAGCAAACGACTTCTCTCCTCCGAGGTCCACTCGGGTTCGATCTCGGAGCGTTTCTGTTGCTGGTGGCCGATCTTGATCACGTCCGGATCCGCGTCGTCGGACATGATGTCCTCCTCTTCCGGCATTGTACTCATTTTACGTACGGCTTGTCTACCGTGTTTGTTCTGGGTGGCATTACTGTGTCTCGGTAGAACGGGCGTGTTACTGTCGCGCGATTCGTCACTGATGCTGCCGCTGATACCACTGTCGTTGTTACTGCTTTCGTTGTCCATGATCACATGATCACGGCCTCTGTAAATAAAGAGAAACTTAATTTATGATCTATGAGAGGGAGGGAGATGAGAGAAAAAGTATTTTATTACTTTTTTTAAGAATATTTTAGGCCGTTGATATCGTATATTTTAAATCCATTTCTTTAGCGATATTTATACCAAAATTATTCCAGAGAATTTGCAATTAGAAAAATATTTGGTAATTTGGGGACATTTAGCGCGACGGGAAAGAGAAAATTATTCCACAGACATTTAGCAACGGTGTTTGAATAGGCTTTTGTTGATTTTATCGAAAAGGTATGATAGTGGGCGGCGGAACGATAAAATACTCATAGAATTTAAATGAGAAAAATGTACGAACTGTTAGGTATCAAGCAAATGGGTATTTATTTTGCGGTTAGATTTGCGGTTGCTCTTTGATGATTCCGATGAAATGTCGATTAGATATTGCGCAAAATCTCTCTTTCGAGGTTTTTAATAAAATATTTAAATCGCACGCTCATCGTTATCCGTGATTTGTTTATCGGTAGAAACGACTTTGAAATAGCAAAGATTTTTTGTGGTATTCAATTACATAATATAAATTGTCATATATATCAAACGCTATCTTGCGATAAATTTTAATTTATAAATCAATCAATTTGAAAATATATTATCATCAAAAAATTTTGTTTTAAGAATATCGCAAACATTTAAAATGAATGAATGTATTAACATGTTTAAAGTTTCAAAAAAATCGTATAAGATTTTTTACCTTCTGAACTTAAAACAAATTTTAAGTTCTTTAACTTTCGCGAATATTAGCTGAGTCTTTTTTGTTTACCTGTTTAACGAAATAAATTCCATTTTATAGTCTTGCTTTTTTAATAATTCAAACTTTTGTTAAAACAACTTTCTTTTGTCTTGACGTAACAATGTGAAGAAAAATCTATGTCTGTACTATAGATACTTCTTGTAGATATGATCGACTATCATTCCACGACTCTTTACGACTTCTGATAGCTAGAGATAGCGTCATCGCAGGTGTGCACGGCTATCAATCCAATTGATTTATTGCAAAATTATTATGCTCGACAATGCTTACACATTATACATTTTACGCTACTTAAGCGTTTTTTATACGAACAATTTGTCATGTCCGATAATGGAATGACAATTACGCGTATATTGTCTAAAAATTATATAAGCCTTAAATTACAAACATATTTGTTATCTGAAATTATATCTTGTGCAATTTTAATTAATATCTTAAATAAAAATTTTAAATTATATAACTATGCTGGTATTAAAAGGTCAAGCGATTATCAGTTCGTTTTGCATAGCGGAAAATGTTCAAAGACATAACATTATCGCGCAAGCATTACTGCGCTTTCATTAAGAAAAAAGAAAAAAGATTGCACTGTTCGAGCGAAAGAACGATCGGAACGCGCGCTTTTTGGAACGCGCGTCATCAGGTGAACGTCATTTCAATGACACTTCCACATCACGTGCCGTGCGGTGAACGGTTTTACCTGTCAGATTGCAGCGTGGCTCGAGCGAATCGAGCGCGTATCAACGAGTCGGGCAAAAGTCATCCGCGTATCGTTCAAAGTGATAATGCGGTTCAATACGCACAACACACACGCGGTCGCAAACCTGTACACGTGTACTATCATCGACGTGTGTAGTATAGCATACGTTCGTTTTTTATTCACACTCTCTTTCCTTACCGGAGCGAGCGCGAATCGGCGAGGTGCGCCGAATGCGCGCGTCAAAGCGCGCACGACGCGAAACTGTCTTTGGGTCGCGAAACGACGACACCGCTGTGAACCCGCGTTTCGCGGCGATCCGGGTTCGTGTGTACGCCCCGTGTGTCATGATCATTCTCGAATCGTGACACGCATACATACACACCTATACACATATAAGCACACACACGCAACGCACTATGATACCATGCCGCGATGTCAGCGCCGTCATACGCGCGTGACTCGTGACACTTGCATAGTTGAGAGACTCAAGCCTGAATCGTATGACTCGTGCAACTCGGCCAGTTCTCGGTGGGAACCAGTGATATCTTCTTCTGAATGCATACTTACTCTCTCAAGGCCAGTACATTAAGCAGGTCGAGGAAAAAAAGATATCAATGTTTGCTTGATATCTTTCTTTCAATATATGATTAGAGAGAGATGAGTAAATGGATAAATATAATGAAGAAATAGAGATAAATATATCAAAGATTTATTCTCAGAACTAAGTAATATTAACAAATAATTTCAGATTATTAGCAAAACGAGAGCAAGTACTAAAGTCAAAGTAAATGATAATGAGAAAAAGAGAGAGCAAAAGAGAATGATAGGGACATAGAAAAATAGGTTTAGAAAAATATTGATAACTCTTTTGCAAAATAATAATAATAATTAATACTTTAAATTTTATCCATGTTATAAGCGACACAGTGAAAATCCGTAATTCTTGCGTAATATTTGAGATTTGATTTTATATGCTTGAGAAATGATATCGTATCATGTATGGCCATTTTTTAGATAATTCGCTACCTTGTATTTTCTTTTCGGCACAAGGTCGCTTTCAAATCCCGCCGTGAACAGTGTAAATGTTGTCTATCCATGATTAAAGCAGTACGGGAATATGCCTATCTTTCCACGGATCTTGTAGAAAGTGTAAGCGAAAGAGATAGGTTTCTTTCATGTAAAATTCTATAGCTGTGGATTAGGTAACACGATTAAGTGTTTCTGACGCGGCCACGTGACTGATTATGCGTAGAATGCGTAAAACTTCTCCCATGTTATTTAATTTACCAACACTTTACGAAACGACACTGAATAAACGATCATGGACTAAGTCTCATCTTGAATACATGCAACGGTGAAACCGCCTGACGAGTGGCAGCCGCATCTACTGCGATGCTTTTAAAACTGCAAGCCGCAGTCAAGATTCATTATGCTCAATATAAAAAGTGGCAGGTTCTGATGCGCTATTCTTATTTACATTCTAATCATTTTTTTACTTTTGCAAATAATAAATTATTTAAATTTTATCCCGATATTCGAAACCATAATTAGAAAATTGATAGCTAAAAGCATTTTTAAATACATGTATAAAACAGTACAAATTATTAAATTATAACAAATTATTCTTGATCTATTTTCCTAAATAGAATATTTTTTAAATTTTAAAAGCGCTTTAAAATGTGAAGTAAAATAAGCTGCAATATGTTAAATATTTCAAAGTCTAATAACAAAAAAAAAATAAATCTAAGATTTTCTTTATGTTTGCTTTATGTTAAACATCAGTCTTGCTTTAATTAGGAGAGCAATTTATATTTTTTATAGGTTTCCAAGTTTTATGAATCTGTTTTATGAATATTGTGTTATTTGAAAATTATAGGTAGCTTACAAAGACCGCATGTTGAAGTGATTTAAAGGAAACATGTAGAATTATGTATACACGCGCGCGTAGATAATTCTCATTATTCCCCTTTCACAGAGCCTGATTAGTTTACAAGACTACGTATTTACTATCGCAGGACTTATGTCCCGTTTAATGACAGCAAAGGTTCCGCTTCCTTTCACCGCGATTCTTTATTCACGATAAATATTAGTTATCGTGTAATGCTTCTGTCTACATCGTGCACTTATTAGAGTGTAGCTCCGCGCGCGTACGTAATACGATGGTGGGATCATTAGGCCAAGGACCGGGCCTGGCGGCTGTTAAGTTCAATTCCCACGGAAGACCGGGTAACGGGTGCTCAAGACGCCGGTGTCGTTATTCTCCGGCAAGTAACAGGTACAATTGAACGTAACCTTTATCTCGTAGCTGAACGGGATAATATCCGTGTACTTAAGAATTGCGCGCGATGAAAATTTCAGTAATCTAAACGTTCAAACTTGCATCAGTCACGACACAACGAATTCATTGATTCCCTCGTGCGACCTTCGCTGAAAACTCATAATACCATGCGCGTTAGAAATTATAGACGTTGGTGTCAGGGTCATGTATAGAAATACCTGTTGCTTAATTTCTGCAAACTTATGATCGATGGAGACATCGAAGTTTTAGGACGCGCGACACAATGGAACACCCGTATTCCTTCGCGCGTGTTTGTTTGCATTTGACATTAAAGCCCACGTATATGTTTCTATAATTTCCTATTGATTGACTCAGTCACTGTCTAGGCTCGCCGAGCGCGCCTATCTGACGTCAGAATGATTGAACCGAAATAGAGATTCTTATCTACGGAATCTCGATTGTTTATTTGAGAATTTATATGGTAATAGAAGTGTCACCTCGACATTTTGATTTCCAGACACTTACGTCATTTTCTGCATAAAAAGAAGCTTCACAACTTCGAATTTTAGTTTCCTTTTCTGGAACTCCGTATCGCAACAACAACGTGTTTTCTAGTCTCTTTGTAGAGATTTCCCCATAAAATTTCGGAATGTAGCGAAGCGAACGAGTTGTATCTCATAAATACTTCGAGTTTGTACCTCGACTACTATGCTGCGACGAACTGGAATCCTGCAAGATCGTAAAATACTAATGAAAATGTTTCTCGGTAAATCATTGACACTATCGTCTTTTGAGCTGTCAGCACATCATCAATCAGTCAAATAGATATTAATCATCGACTCTTTAATAATAGCAACGTACTTTCTTGTGTCGCGAATAAACGAGACAATTAAGACAGAACGAGATTTCGTGTCTCCGCATCATTAAAATCTTGACTCATAGATGCTGTACCGGTTTTAATTCCGTATTTTTATTGCACGTGTATAGGTACGTCTCTCACGAAATCAGGTCGGACGAGGCAATCGGTCATTCATTTTCTCTCTCTTTCTCTCTCTCTTTCCTCCTTTCTGTTTTGATGTATACGCGCGAGGATTTTGGACGAGAATAATTCGGAGTTGCTTGTGATCGCGCCGATCCGCGCTTCGGGCACCGAAAAGGAGAAGTTGCCGATCTCCGAGTCCGCGAGTTGCGCAAAGCACATCGCCTCGTGCATCATTACGTAAGGGTAAAACTGCAAGCCATAACACGACAATCGCCGATATGCGGTCGCAGTGTCGCGCGGCCAAGGAGGAAAAATCCCAACGGTGGGATATCGCGCGGTGTACGTCGAACGAGCGACGCGTCAATGCGTGCGGGCCACGACGCAGGTGGCAAGGCGACGGCAGGTGAAGATCGTCTCGTGTCCCGTGAAGGTACCGTCAAAGCGGGGTGCTCCCGATTCCGGAGGGAGCTCAAGAGGGAGCGACGCGACCGCGCCGAAATAAACTTTCCCGGGTTATGTAAAGACTGGCGCCTCCGCCGATATAAAGGTCGGCTCTGCCCCCAACGGTCCAAGAGTTGCTCGCGAACTCCACGCCAGCCACCATCGAGAGAGCCGAGCGACGATCTACATGTGATTCTGCTTGCGGTGACCGTCTGCTTGCCTGCTTATTTGCCGTCTATTCCACTTAAACGCGCTGCATTACCTCATTCGCTTCGCTCTCTCGGGCGCGTGCATCGTAATTGTATAAACGCGTGTTCATCGTCGAGCCGACAATATGCGTGCTTTGGTAAGTGTGCACCTCTGTGTCGAACGTTTTCTCAAATTTCTTTGTGAGTTTAACAATAGACTCTCTTTTTGCATCGTGATTAACTTCTGGGTCATCGAATTATAATGTAGTTAAGTCGATTTGTAAAGAATATGACATGCCAAATAATAATATATGACAAAGACTGCAGAAAAGATTAAAATATCAATATTTTCGTTTTTATAATCTCGAATATAATCGAACAAAAATTCAAATTTGATATCACATACGATCATTAATAAATTAATTCAAGAGTTAAAATATAAAATTGATATTAAAATTGTTTCATATCTCTCGCTGCGTTTGGGCATTACAAATTTTGATATATTTTTTTTTCGTGGAGATAATTTTAGTTTCTAAAAAATGTATAAAAGTAATTTTCACATAATATATGCATGAATATAAATTATAATTTTACTGGGAACTGTATTGCGGGAGAAGCTTTTACGTGTAGCATAGATAAAGTATGATATGCCACTACACTCTTATAATTTTACGCGCTTCATGCACCGGCACACAAGAGAATACACATAAATTACAAATATATACGCACACATATATAAAATATAGACAATATGTTATATCTCATTCTTCGCATAATATCGAACGTTTCACACATTAAGCTTTAACATATAAACAGAATGATTTAATTCTTGCTTATATCAATTTGCTATCATTAATATGCGCATTTCAAATTGACACTATTAATCAATGCATTTCATTTATTGTTTAAATGATAATAATAATGTAATTTATTATTGCCAGTCTTCTTTCGTTATTTCGCCATGCAGTTGTAATAAATCGTCTAGATGAAAATGTCGATAAAACGCGCTCAATAATTTTTCCTTGCGACAGCTTTTCGCAAAAAATGCAGAACATATTTAATTTCCCACATATATTTTTATATCAATCATGTTTAATGTATTGAATTTCCATAACGATAAACGCATTTAATAGTTGGTTTCTCTACGGCAAGTCCATGTCGCGCGGGTCCTGTGTACATATTCATAAATGATGGGACATGATTTAACGTATATGATAGGGCTATTTATTATCCCATGAAAGTTACACAGCACAAAACGGTCATTATAATGTTGCATAATCTATCGAATTACATAATCCATTAAATTTGTGAAGCTCACATAACGGCAACATTGTCGGGCGCTTTGCACTGAGGATGACTATCGTAGACCATACACGCGAACGTTAATTTGCATATGCATATATTTTCTAACTGTGTACTTTCTCGCGCAGAAGACACAAGAGTCGGCCAAGTCCGAGACATCTGTTTGACATCCGCAATATTAATATTAGTCAACGATGTCATGGACTCTGCCAGTTTCCTACGCGAGATTACATAGTATTATTAAATAATATGAGTTCTGCAAAAAGTATATTACAGTATGTTTATATATTTTAATTAAATTAGGTCGCACAAGCGCGCGCTATTTAATTACATTTTTAATTTTTGGTAAAATTTTACTCTAATTTAATTTAATTTTTTATTTAATTTAAATTATAATTATTTGCCACTCCTTAAGACTCCAACATTAAAGACATACATTTATTTACGAATGCGATTGTATTTACGCTACACGATGAACGCGCGGTAATCAGCCGATTGAATCGGTAAAAAACCAATCGATCTCGGCCATCGGATATTAGATTATGGGAATAATAATTATAGGAAAAAATCGCATTCACGAAGCGATCGTAAGCAATGTAATACGGCATCATTAGCGCGAGATACCCTCCCGTTCCCGCACCAATCGCAATGAGCGTACCGCGACCTACCTACTTACCCACCTACCAATACATACGTCTTGTCCTGACCTTTCGCGGGGAAAGGTATCTCCAGCGGCTTTATGAGACGTGGATTAAAGCACATAGACGCGCGCCGATTCTCCACACTTTGATCGCATTATCGCTGATGCCATTAGCATCTTCTCGAAATGTAGAGACACGTAGAAGACTCCAATTTTTTGACGTATTATTTTTGCCCGGATGCTGCTTTATCTGCATATTTATCTTGTTGATGAAATTGTCACGAGTCGATCATTTTTTACAAGATTTTTACGTTTTTAAAGTCCGTGAAAATAATTTAGTACGATCGTAAAAATGTTTATCGTGATATATTTAGCACTTAATCAGCGATGAGCACGAATCCACACAGCAGCATCGTTGATTTATTAAACTGTAGAAACAACGCTACATCCGTTATTCGTTCACGATGATGTAATTACTCCGTAACAATCTCCGAGAGAGTCATTAATCAAATTATTGGACTGTTATGTATAAAATCATTATACATGTTTTCACCAGTCTCTTATTTTGAAAATCCTGCAAATTCTCGATATTGCGAATTTTAACAAAGTGCGAATATCAATTGATGCTATCAGTTTCATTTCACGCATGATTTGCATTTAATTTACACTATCTTTAAAATAAACGATATTCTATTATTCAAAATATTTCAAATAAATCACTTATTTCGAAAACCGAGATCAATCTTGAGATGTTGCAAATTTTTATGATACATGAGTCAATTGTAAAATAGAAGTACATGAATTTAAATTAGATGTTTCAAATATCATCAATCTTATTATCGTGTGAAAAAGACTTTAAAAATGCCTCTCCTGATAAATTACTTATTTCGAAAATTGTATAAATTTTATTTTGAAATGTTATAAATGTCAACAAAAAACACGCGCAGAGTGCAAATTGATGTTGCGGATAATTTTTAGCAAGATTCACAAAAATTTTCACATAAATCGCATAGAGATAGTGATGTCAGGTGATGCTAGGTGAGAAATAGAGGATAATTTCATCCTTCCGTTTTAGTTGTTAGTAGCCCTGTTCGGACTGGTCCACAGCCAGGACCCATACTTCCAGGAGCCGGAGAAAATCGTGAGCTATTCGCGCGATCTCGGCGACACTCGCGGGCACTATTCGTTTTCTTACGAGACGGAGGGCGGCATACTGCAGCAAGAGAGCGGCAGTCGCAAGTACGCCGGCACCGACGACGAGACGCAGCTTATCCAGGGTTCCGTGCAGTACAACGCGCCGGATGGCACCCCCATCGCCATGAGCTGGACCGCCGACGAGTTCGGCACCCAGGTGATTGGCACCCATATTCCCACCCCGCCGCCGATCCCGCCGGCGATTCAACGTGCCCTCGAGTGGATCGCTAAGCAGCCCACCACTCCGGAACCAATCGAGAAGAAGAATCCGACGCCGAACGCGGTTCCCCGCGACAATCACCAGTATAAATTCCCTCCGAATAAACGAAACTGAAAGTTGTCTACGCTCGCGTAAAGTAGCGTCGCTCAGAACGCTGACTTTCAGCCGGCATCACTGCCTATCGCTCTTACTATATGTTACATTCAATAAATTTGTATTTTTATAGAAACTCTCGAGACTACTAGTTGTTTAAACGGCTTGGGTGGAATTTAGGATTAAGTTGCTTTCCATGATAGATATTGATTAAGAGTTATTCTTCTTTTAGATAAATAGCGAGTTATTTTCTCGCTTCGAATAGTTTGCGTATGATCTCATAATCGAACGTTTTAAAATACATGATTTTTTGGTCGAATAAGCATCTTTGTTTTTTGCTACTTTCTCATCTCGCATTGAAGTAGGTTAATTCAGTAGACATAGCATTCAAGCGTATGTAAGCGATAGCGTAAATAAGTACGTTTACACTGGGATTATTCAATATATTACATTTTATTTTTCCTAAACGTATCCTTTTTTTTTTTAATATGAATTTTGTTGAGCAAGTTTGGACAAATTTAGTCTGCTGCCATATGAATGCGATATTATCTTTAAGATCAATATTCATTATATTAGGTAATATTCAACAAAAGGAATGCTTTTATAATACATGCATTATCATAATTCAGTTATGTAAATTTTGTCCTTTTTGCTACAATCATTAATTCTTTTTATATAATGACAACATGTTTTTGCAAATTCATTTATCACCATTTAATCAATTTACAGAATTATGCCTAGGATATTTTTATCTTGACGTAATCCGCGAAAATGTCAAAAGATGAAATTAATATTCAGAATCAAGACATTTATTATTCCGTGATATACGAGATATCGTTACGTATCTTTATCTAAAATAATGGATCATAAAAGAAGTTTTCGAAAGAAAATGATGCTTATGCACAAAGAAATTTGCACACCTCGCTCCGAACTTTCCGCAAATTTGCAACGCTTCGACGCTTTGCTGCCTCGTTAACGCTTGCCCTCGTTAAAAGTATCGTAAACGCCCATTAACGCGACAATTAATGTGATGCAGGTATTAACGTATCCATCTGTCATATTTATCCAATTCACTGTTTCGATCACAATTCAACAAGATCTGCATATTAATGGAATTTATTTACAGAACATCATTGATGTTCATACAGGTGTTGTACAAAAAGTAAAAAAAACTTATTTGAGCGCGCATAATTACAAAAATAGTGCACGAAGAGCCAGGTCTTGAGATCGCCAATCTCCACGGAGATCGAATATACCCGTTGATCATCGATACGATCGCGCGATCGGGTCTGCGCCAGGCTTCTCCCGATCTTTCTCATCTTCTCGAGGCTCGCTTTCGATTTGCCGGTTCTAACCTACTTCCATCGTGTTATATGTTCTTATTGCTGGTCGTTTTCCTCGGGATGCTCGGCGATATACTGAAGGGCTCTTTGGATTGCGGGTGGTACCGGGGGCGCGGTGGGCAAGTGAGCACCCTCCGGCTGGAATCCGTTCTCATTGGCTACGTACGAGATCTGGAAGGTCTGGCCGTCGGCGTCGGTATAGCTGTAGCTGCCTCGTGCCTCCAGGGCCTCATTTTCAGTACCCGCGTTGTTGAGGTGACCATCTTCCTGGGCCTGGATGCCATTACCGGTCTCGTAGCTGTAGCTGTAGGCGCCGTCAGGGTTCGGTCCGTCCAGAGCTTGCTTGACAATAGGAATTGGGCTGGTGTTGTCAAGAGGGGCGGCTATTGCCACTGCCACGAGGGCGCACAAAGCGATTGCCTGGAGGAACAAAGAATGTTGTTTGTGCCGAATGTTGAATGCTATATAGTGTACTATATAGTGTACTATATAAAATTTGAATTAGATTCTACTAGAATAAGAAAAGATTTCTAAAGTGTATTGAGGAAATTAATGGAGGATGGTGAGATGAAAGAACAACAAGAGTAGAGTATTTAAATATGGAATTTATGTAGAAAAAAGAGGGAGAAAGAGAAAAAATTGTGCCAGCTAAATCTTTACTACAAGAAAATAATTTATTTCTAAATACCTTTAGCTATTGCAGCGAATTTCTCGCTGCTAATACAAGTTTGATGGTAAAATAAAAATTAATTTGTCATATCAGCGATATAATTTGTAGATATAATAAAATTATTTTTAGCAAATAAAATAACATCCGTAAGAAATTTCTTTGCTGTCTATATATAATAATTGTCTATATATAATAACTGTCTATATATAATAACATATTTTGACAGCGTAAAATTTTCTGTGCCAGGAAATTCTTTTTTTTTGTAGGTTTTCTTGTTTCTTATGACGTGATATATATATATAGACTAATTATATTTTCGTTTATCTTCCAATATTTTTCAATTAGTTGAATTATAATAATAAAATTTATATGAATTAATCTAAATAAAATTTTGATTCCCTCAAATTAAAAAATCAAATAGTTTTATTTATTATTGCAAGAAGTTTCGGACAAACCACGATGTACGTACATAGCAAAATTGTGAAAAATTAATTAATTATACGATTTATTTATTATATTAATTCTGTACTTTATAATTGTTATACGTGCTCGTTTTATAGAAAATTACTTATTGATTAATCAAAATATTGAAACTATCAACAATCTAATTTTTACATTAAAATTCTCAAGACTTTTTAAGTTAATAAAAAATTGTATTATGATTGTTTGACTGAAAGAAATCGCTCATATCGATTTATGAAAGCATTGGATTTACAATACAATGGCAGATTTGAGACCATGTCTATAGATATCTCGCATCACTACGTTACATAATATCTCTTATTTGCACAAAAACTTAAACTCACCAATGAATTCATGTTGAAAAAAATAGATTATTTTTCCTAGCTTTACCGCTCGGAAGCTTCTCACTGCACTGACTTGACATCTCATGCACGTCTTCCGCTTTATATATCCTCCACTCGAAAAGAATCGGGGACCTTCTGCTAAAGTAATACCTTATTTAACCCCCCTCCATCCCCCAGACCCTCTTGGTCCACTCTCCCACTTCAGAGACATAGCATACATCCGAAATTTACGAATGAGTCAAACGCGCACGCACACGTCTGCAAAGCCAGTCCTCTCGGCGGAACTTCAAAGCTGAGGTCATACCTGTGCCTAAAATCGCGAAAGGTCGGCGTCTGAATTTAGTCAAGAGTTGGAAGACTCATCGCAATTTAGGATCTGATAGGATATAATTGAATAGCACACAGTTAAATACTGTCACTGAGAAAAAGATAACGTGTACTTTCGCGGACTAGTGTTTAAGACAATCACAATCGAAAATCGTAGCGATTGTCTTAAGAATCCCAGCGAACATTCCTTGCAAATTCGTATTTTAAGAACTACGTTGAGACACATTGCGTATGATCTATTTATTATAAATCTATGTTTCATAAAAAGCTATACCATATATAAAATATTTGCGAAAGTATTATAATAAAATATCGCGTACAGAACTTACAATAAAAAGCAGCAATTAATCATAATTTATTCTATTTTAATTCTATTTCTTAAGTTTACATATGTTGGATTTTTTCTAGAATTTCTTATTTCTGCAATGTTGCTCATTTTGGTTTTAAATATTTTTAGCTTATATCTATATTTATTATTTATATATTTTATCTTTGTGAAGCATTTTTTTAAAAGAGTTTAATAATGTCACTTGATTTTGGTTAATGGATGCAATCCCGTATTTAAGTCGTGAATTTATTTTTATCAATTTCTAATTAGCAATTTACTTATGATCTATATAAATGCTCAGTGCTTGCTTCGATTAATATGAATTATGATTAATATGATTTATGAATTATCTATTTGCAAATCTTAAAAGATTTATATTGACAAAAATTAATGAAGACATGTGAAATCACATTTCTTTATTATTATATTTACGACTTGTTTTTTACTCAAGCAATTAAGTTTTATTTGTGTTATACTATTATTAAAAATGCTAATTATATGTAAAAAATGCACAAATCGCAAATGTTGATCAATCGTCTTGTAAGTAAGCATCATAAAATCTAGATTGTCATTTGCGAAATTAAATTATTCTGCAAAAATATCTAAAATAAATAATTTAGCACTTATTTGTACAGTATAATATTAGCATAAAATTTTGTTTGTAATATTTTTGGAAATGGAAAGGCTGTAGCGTCCGAAACCAGTATTTAAAAGAATATACATATATTAAACGAGAATCTTTTAGCGATCCTCTGCATAATTTTCACAATCGTTATTTATTTTTATTATAATTAGTTACAATTTATGAAAAAATAATTATTCTGTTATTTTAAGAAAGGAAAAAAAGTATCCCTTGATCACGAGACTTTTTAAATATGCAGAAGGAAAGGAAAATATCGTAACTGTGGGTAAAAAAACAAATGAAGGTCGCAATGAAATTTTTTTTTACCGATAAAGATGCAGTTGGTGATGATGGACGCGTCATTGGAATTGAAAAAAAGTAATACTTGTGTTATAAAGAACAACTCGTGACTATTGGGAAATCCACATATTCATGATATGTTAAAAACAACGCATGGTGTCGATTGCGGTTGATGTAATTCATGGCAATCGAATTTAATCGCTGGATCGATCAGCACCTTCACGATAATCCTCCTTAAAATATTAGTTATCCAATCATCCCGCGTGGGTTTGCATTAAGCCTGGAATTTTGAAAGTTCTCTCCGACGAATGTCTCAAATCGAATCGTCTTTACATGTCGTCACAGATCGACGATATAAGTACCGCTAATTTTCTCGCACAAGCTCACTATGTATCAGAGAACTTGCGTTCTTCGTGAAGTTTCAGCGCAAGTGAAAGAACAAAGAAAAAGAATATTAGGTTTGTTAAATTCTTGTTGCTACCGTTCGTGAATTTGCCTGATCACTATTTACAAATCACTTGTGCCAAACGACATTATTCCGGCGGCCGAATAACACGCAAGATATTAGTTATGCGAAATTTTGATATACATTTAGTATTGCGATAATTTTGTTATCCAGTGTATAAGTATATATATTAATTTTGCTCGGAATCCGAAATATGGAAAAAAATATTCACATTTAGCAGACTGCATCCGGAAATTAATATTTAATTGATATTCTCTATTGGATCATATAAACTGATTTCTTTTTTATTTAATTGTTTTATTGTAATTGCATTATTTCATTACTATTATTACAATTGTTCACGTTTACTAATGATATGAAAATATTGCTAAATAATTAAAAAAATCAATTTTATTGAATTTATAAAACTGTTATATACAAATTAGATTATGCAAGAAATATTTTTAATGAATTATTTGAGTATTGTGCAAATGCGTAAAGGAAGAATAGGAAATATTTAGTTTAAGACAGAAAAGACAGAAAAATTAAAGGTAGAAAACAGAAGATAGCGTAATGGTGATAAAATAAAAAGCGTTAATTTGTGTTTAATAACTTTCCCTGCAGTATAAATGTCTGACAAAAACTATTTAGGAAGACTCAACTCTGAGTTAACTGAACATATTAACATGCTTGTCTCGAAAGATTTACAACGTATGCAATGATAATGTAAATTTAATAATATTATTTAGCGGTGGCAACTTTCGGTTTTAGGTAACACAGCCCGCGGGCCACCGTGCAACCTTCGGACACGTGTTCACACGTGTTCGTTCCCATGAGAAATTAGTAAGCAGTATCACGGATGTTGTACGTAGTAGAGCATACTTGCTTGATTTAAAAAAAACACTATTCTTATCTCGCGAAAAATATGCAAAAACTTAAAGTAGAACAAGCAAGTGTAAATCGAAGATTTTAGATCATAAAAGCGCATACGTTAATCGAAATGACATGGCGAGATGACTTGTCGCCAAATTAAATCCAAGGTTTTTTTATAATATCGCATATATTCTAGCTATTTATAAACGTTATTTACATCAAAGTTGTCGAACACGACTATCCGCATCGGCGGAAATTTATCATCCAAACACCCGTGTCGCATATGTTATGGCCTACCGAGAAATTGGCAAAATTTTATGATCGTATAATTTTCACCTAAGTTCGAGACGCCAATCTCGCCGAAGAACGGCGAAGGTCAGAATCCGCCGCGAGCAGCAATATTAGACATCATCGTAATAAGTCCCGATAAGTTCTAGCCATCTTCTCCTCCGCTGTGTTTCGCAATGAAATTAAACGAATTTTTAATTTCCAAATTAATTGTACATTAACCACTACTAAATATTAATCACAAACTTTGTATTCTCAATAGTCTTGTTGAATTTCAAGACGCAGATATCTTAGATTAATTTACAGTACATTTGTTTCAATACGACGCAGATTCGTAACGCAGATGAACAGCAATGCGTAACTACTTTAGTATGTTTAGGTATTGCTCATTGAATTCCAAATTCTATGAATAATATACAACTAAATTCCTTCTAATAAATTATGCAGGTTTTTTAACCGCAAAAAGTAATTAAAAAAATTAAATTCGATTTATTCGTATAAAGTAATAGATTGAAAAGACAATATTTACAATCTTACGAAAATTAATATGAGAATCACAGCATACAATACATACATATATCTCATAAATACATTTGCAAATATAATAGTGATGTATGGCAGCGTATGCTAATAATTATCAGTATTGACATCACTTCGAATTATTGTGACGCGACCAATTAATTGTTACTGGCCGATGTTTTGGAGATTCCATTTGTCGCTTCGTAATGAAATAACATACGCCATAATTCGTATACCGCGGAGGTCATCCCGCTAACCTAAATACTATACACAGCATTTTTACTTTCACGCGGCAGATGAGCCAAACTCACTTGAGTTGCTTCAACGAACTGTTACGCAGTCGGGTGATTAAAGAGCCGCGGACGACAGGTTATGACAATTCATCACCTGTACTTTGTACAGTGGATAGACACGTCCAGCATACGTGTTCACCGGACACGCGCAGAAACCGGGATGAAAAATGATACTTCGCGAAATTACCAATACGCGGGATAAAGCGCGTTTGTGCAGAGCCGCGAGCCAATGAATCGCGACGCGAAAAATCCCCCGTTATCCAAATATCCTGACGTGATTTCGATTCGACGTCCGCGTATTATGGGTAATTGTTCTTTATGAAATGACACTTTGTATTATTCAAGTTTTTGCATAACGATTCTTGTAGTAGATTTGTAGTAGATCTTATAGTACAAAAAATAAAAAATTTTTTACATTGAAACAGATATTGAATATTTAAACTTTTTAAAATTTTCTAAGTGATTTTGATTTTTAATTCTAAAAAATGACAATCAATTTTCTGTGACTCATTTTATTTATTATTTGAAACAGTTTACTTTTAATGCGTGTATTTTTCGTAATTGCAAATCTTATCGTTTGTGATAATTGCGAAGAATATGCAAATCTACTTGTCTGTTATCTATTACAAATCTAGTACAAGACTCGTTATGTAAAAACTTGTATGCAATAACGCTGGGTCTTCTCTTCGTAGCGCGATCTGTAGTATCTTTTACTGACTCTCTGCATGCTTATGATCCATCGTTAATATGCAGTTGATCGTGCCATAAACGACAAACATAATTATGATAAATGTTAGAATTATTGATAATATTCACTTTTGAAGAAAAGAAAAATCTTACCTTATCAAAGCAATATTATATTCCTTTTATTTTGTATATTTTCTATACTATATTTATATTTTATTTAAAGTAAAGCTGGCACAGAAAATCTTAAGTCTTAATACTACTTTATCGACGGCATAGAAGAAATCGACAAGAAATCCTATGCGAAATCAGGTAGAGGACTCAAACTGATATTTCTAACTTGTGCATTTTTTGCACGAATTTAAAATAATGGTTAAGATTAGCATAATTAGCGCGTAAAATGATTCTAATTGAGAATCTCTCGTTTTTACAAACTATAAATACTATTTAATATACAAAAATAGAGCAAATTTATTTTTATATTTTTTTACGAGATAATATTGACTAAATGTAGCATTTAAATTAGTTCATATTTCTAATTGCGAAGTAATTGCTCAAATAACATCATAAAAATTTCATAGTAACACTATAAAGTTATAAATGAACATTCTATCTTCTATTATCAAACTAAAGCACTCTATAGAGAATCATGTTTATTTTAATTTATGGAATTTTTAATCAATTTATAAATTATTTCTTTCTAAACAAAATTTTGTTTTAGTATTGCGCTCTTGAATTTTTCAAGCAAATTAAAAATTATAAAATTCTCGTAAATTAAAAAAACAAAGATATAAGATAAATAGATAGAAAGCTTATTTTTAATATTGATTAAAGTAGATTTTATTTGAGTAGACATTGAAATTAATATAATTGAAAATAATTGGAATATCAAGATATTCTAATGCTGAATCTCCAAAAGTTGCGAAAAACAACGCCGTCTGTTTTGACAGATTTGTCTATTTGACAAGAATTATTGCGCGCTTTAGCAAATATATCTATATTATCATATTTTGTAATTAAACAATATAGCGATTTTTTAAATGGTTATTGCATGACAATCCAACGAGCACATTTTGGGATGCATCCTCGAAGAGCAGACATTGACCTCCATTACGGAATTTGTGTCTTGCAGTCGCGTCGTATGAATCAGTGTGTGCAAATCGGTTTCATCAAAGACTTTCGTTTTCACGTATATTTGCTTATATTGTAAAAAGGAATGATGCCGGCCGAAAGGATACTCTTATGTCGATGCGAGTATTTCGATTTATAACCTCTTTCTCTCCCCCGTCGGGATATTAATTACAATTGCAAGCAGATAGGCATTAGAAATTTGTAATCACCGAAAAGAAGGAAAAGAAGGAGACTTGATTGACGAAACGATCCGCGGCGCATGTTTCATCACCCTCTAAGTAATTCTTGAGTGTAAAATTCTCTCTTTAATTACATTACGCAAGCCCTTTATTGAGAAATTGAAATAATAGTTACAGAATGTTTCACGTGAAACGACAGACACGTTCAGTTTCTACATTTGAAATGTATGAATGCAATCAGTAGAATACAATAGTTTCATTATGCACTTTTTCTGTGAAATAAAACAAGGTAATAAATTTTCTGAAGAAAATTGTGAATTAAAAGTATCTGTTAAAAATATTTATTATTATAAATTTTGGTTGAGAATTATTTAGAAATAGAGGTATCTATAATAGTCACATGTCGAATTAGCAAAATGCAATATGAGGTATCACATATTGCTATCTGGAACAATCCATAATAAAGAATAATCTTTGGTTATTTCCGTCACGTTTGAGAAATATTTCATATCGATCTCTGCCTCCAAGTCTTTAATTATTCTCTTTCTCGAAGTTCAGGAAAGTGGCCGAGAAACTATAGTTTACGCGATCATCCTGTCGCGCGCGGTCAGGATAAATGATAAATGAACTTGCGTATTCGGCTTGCGTTGCGCCTGCCAAGATTCTGCGGATTTGTTACACGCTGGCTGAATTTATAAAACGCGCGAAACAACGAAAATTCGCATAACGAGATCATCAGGTCAATAGGATGCGACGAAAACGCACGCCATATTAGGTGACTTCTCCTCCACCACGTTTCTCCGCTGAGACTCTGAGAAAAATTTATGATCAACTTAGTGAAGAGAATTTTTTTTTTTTTCTGACATACAAAGGATAATCCTTTGTTACCAACGTGTTTGCTTTGCGATATTCACGTTGTCGCTTTTAACATTTTACAGCGCGATATTTGTGTGATGAAAAGGTTCCTTTCAGACGCGCTTTTAAGTAAAGGCTTTATTCGATTTTAGGTTTCATGATTTGCGAATTTTCTGAACTTCTGTAATTTATTTTAATTTTTTTAAATAGTTTGTTTTATATATAATCTTTGATTAATTTTCCAAAGTAGACTATTCAATTTATCTACAAACGCGTCGCAGCTATTTTAACTAGATTGATCTTGAATTTTGTCAGCCTTAGGTAAACGCATGCCGTACGTGCTTACCTTGTGATCCCCGAAGGCAGACTGGCTAAAGATATACACGAATTTGGTTTCACAGACAAAGTCGATAAATATTAAAGATTTTAATGAAGTATTTATTATTTATTAATAAAAAATATGAAAATTTAAACCAAAAAAATTTATAAATTTTAGAAAAAAGACTTTTAGAAAACGATCTTTAATTTAATATTTCTATCTACGCTATTTTCAAATAAAATTAATGGACGTTTTACAAATAAGAAAGTAACGAAGGATATTATTTTGTCTTTTTTGCTCATCGTGTTCTTGCTATCACTATAAATTATAAATTTCATCATTATAAATTTCGTTGTAAATGTCGTAATATGTTGATGTGCGTTGGCCAGAAATATATTAATAAGACGGAGCGTCGGGCAAGGTTCAGCAACACTATATAAAAGGCGTCTCTTCAATTTCGATTTTACAACGAAACAGTCGCGATTAGCATCATGAACGTCTTGGTGAGTCCACAACTTAACAAAATTAATAGAATTAATAGAATGCAGTATTAATAATTAAGCTTAGAAAAATTAATAGAGTGTTGTCAACTTATGCAATTATTCGGTTTTATTTCTTTTTTATTTTTTATAGTTTTTTTTATAATTTTTAATTAGAAATATTATACAACTAAAAAAACTGTCTTATATATACGCATCTGAGATTATAAGATTGATTCTTTTATCCTCGGATTATAAAAAGGAATTAATTGTGCCGATGTCGAGTTTTTGATATGTCAACCGCAATAATACGAGCGCATAATAAGACCTGAATTCAGACGTATTTCAGCGGAAATATTATATTCCGCATTACTCCAGCTGACATACTTTTGAAATATTCTTCCGTTCTAAGTTAATCGCGAAATTCTTTCCCTCATTTTTGTCAGACTACCGCACTCCTTTATACGCTCGCAGTGGTTGCGCTCGCTGCGCCACAGAAATCTTTGCGAGATCCGATTCCCATCGTGGCCTCAAATCTAAACGGACCAAACCCGGACGGTTCGTACAGCTATAATTACGAGACCGGGAACGGCATCCAGGCGCAGGAGCAAGGTCAACTCGCCAAGATCGCCAATAGCGAGGACGTTCTGCGCGTTCAGGGATCCTTCAGCTATTCTAACGATGACGGCATCATCAGCTTGAACTATGTCGCCAACGAAAACGGTTTCCAGCCTAGGGGTGAACATCTGCCGATCGCGCCTGCGATCCCTTCCGGTATCCTGAAAGCCTTGGAGTACATCGCTCAGCATCCCGAGGAGGACAATCTGTAGAAGTGATATAGCAGCGTTCAAACAATTCAGACTGAAATCGTACAAATGACAATCGTTGGTGTAAACAATTCGCATGCGAATTCCATCGTAGATATAAAAACACAATGCAGGATGAAGGATTCTACGTTTACCTCGACGAGGGATTTGAAAAGGAAAATGAATTGGAATAACTCTAAATACTTAATCATATTTTTTTATTTTTTACTTTTTACAATGTTTTAAATTAATCTATAATATTAAGTAAATATCTAAAATAGTATTAAGTTAAGTATTAAAGTCAATGTAATTACAGTGAGTTCAGGATTCCGAATTTACCCTTTCCAGCATTGAATCATACCGCCTGTTAGGATTTTTGAATATTATATTCTTACGTCTACGACATACCGTGTCAGTTCTATGTATTCGGCGAACATCCTTCGTCGCGAGAGCGACGTTTCAGTTGTAAATTAGTACAATCAATTAGTACGTACTGTGTTAATTAAGGAACCCTCACAGCGCATGTAGAAGCATTGCAACGGCAACGGTTTATATTAAACGCTACTCATATCGACAAAATAAATGTTAACGTGAATTCAGCCACGCGTGCCTTCTTCGATTAATATAATATTTATCTGACCGTTGAGCCATAAACCCGTCACGGCTGTTCCGCTCATTAAAACATATCAAATCGCTCGTGATTTGAATACATCGATGGCCGTGAATGAGTTTGGCTGGTGAATTCGCGATTATACGAATAATACGAAGCAATATATAATGACGAGCCACGTGTGTAGATGATGCAATAATGGGACATGATGAAATAGCGAGAAACATTGACGCAATTAGCAGCGCGATCGAGCGTATTCCTTTATTCGAAAATTTGGCGCCGTATTTTTAGTCAGGTTTTTTTCCACAATTACTACGTGAGTGATATTTTTAAAACGTCTTTAAGATTTATTGTATTTATTTAAAAAAAAGTGCGCCACAATAATCTCGCTTCGAAATTTGCACTGTACTCTTATACAATTGCCACGTGAATTACTTTGTGTACGAATATTCTTGAAAGTAGATTTTTGCAATTCCGGCTGAGAAATAGCGCTGGGTGAGCAATCTCCCGGGAACGGAGCATGTGCTAATCCAAAACGCGCGACACAATCCTCGCGTAGCACGTATCCTTGCGGATACACAAAAGCGTGCGATTTAAATAAGATAAATGCTCGCATCTTACGGCGGAACGTGCCGTGGATATAAAAACGAGAATTACGACATCGCATTAGCCAGTGTCCGACATCCGTTACGTTCAGGAGCTCGCTTACGGCGCCTTCGAGGACAATGCATGGCGTATCCCGTGCCGAAAAAGACAAAATGCGTGCGGATGAATAAATATACATCGTCGGAATCGCGTGCCGATTCATCATGCGGATTCCACGTATATTTTGCATTAATAGAGACGTAAAATGTTGCGTTAATTACACTAACGTCGCACGATTACAAATTGCTCAGGAGGAGGCGGGCCTTGGAATTAATTTATTCCTAAGGTATTTTCCATATTCAACGTGTGCCCGTGGTCGGAACGATTAAATCACTAGCACATCAGCGATACTGCGCTTCGAAGAATACCGCGGATAATAGTACGAAATTGCTCGACGAGAAGACGCTCATCTTTTCCGTCTCTCTTTTGTTAAATTGAAAATATTTTTCGCGCAAGACAAGCCTCCTCAATCTTGGGCTCGCGTCTTTTCTCTCGTAAATCACTCTACCCCGGGGCGTATTTTAAAGAAATCTGCGCTGCACAAGGAAATGCGGCATTTTCTCTACCCACTTCTCGATTACTTTGTAGCAAATTCGTTCATCTATATTGCATCTGTCTTATTTATAGTTTTCCAATTAATTTTCAAACAATAATGCAAAATGCATTTGTGGCTACAACGTCGCCACAAATAATCGGTCCTTTTTTTTTCAATCTTGTTAAATTCTTCTTAATTCTTGCCTAACATCCTTTGCCTTGTGTACACTGACCGATCGAAGTCGCCTACATTTCTACAAGTCGGCACCTCGCGATATCCGCGCGGGAATCTGCATACGAGAGTCTCGCAATCAGCGGATGCAACGATTGGATGCACCTCGAAATTTCTAATTGCTGACTCGATCATCGTAGACCTCTCACACTGCTATGAGATCACGTCTCAGCCAAATTACTGCTTTCGATTAACAATTCTAGACACGCTGCGAACAATCCTTCACGTTATTTGAGAAGTTGCATAAGTGATTAAGAGACTAGTATTATATTCTTCAGTACAACGTAACTGTAACATAACTATTAACACTATTTCTTTATGGACAATAAAATGGCAGCGATGCTCTAACAATTGTTGCTCGCGTGAGGAAATCTCGCACACGCAACTATCGCAGTGTTGCATTGTGAGGTCCGTCCTCTTGTACGAACGTCGAGCACCGTCAATTAAATGCGCGAGGCCGCCCCGCGCGAAAATATCTCTACACGAATCTTAAAGTCCGCCTCCGCGGGCGTCGGTTATAATAGCTGGCTGCATGCTCGAGTGATCTGATCTGATCCGCGATCATCCTCTGTGTACCAGGGGCCACGTCCTCCTCTTCGCATTTCATCGCCGAGATGGAATGCTCTTTGCTTATTATAGATGATATAAAAGATAAAGTTTCCCGTGATACTTATTTATTATTCTCTTTTATTGCTCAATATAGTTATTTTGAGAAATCACTTTTTGATTTCCAGAAATATTTAGTCTCCCAAGCTGCTTTGCATAATAAATACTTGATCTCGATGCTTACGGGTCTAAAGACGATGTTAGATCGGATAACGCCGTTGCGTAACCGTAACTGGACCACCGGGTCGCCCGATTGCCTGTATCGGTTCCTCCCGGGTGTACACGTTCGTCATCTCGCTTTCGTTGCATCGCGCCCTCGCCGTGAGTAGAAAGTCTTCCTCGTCACGATCTGCGGATTTCTTGTATCAGTTATAGATTTTTCGACGATCCAATTGATTATTTCCATATTGATCCGAGCGATTATGTAGTCACGATCGCGCGCTTAAGAATCGATAAACAATAAGTAGGATAAAGATAATGATAATGATGCTGATCCCGTATGTAACGCTGTGGCTAATCGCCACAAGTATCATGATTGAATGCACAATTATCTCAATGTTTATTTTATAGTTTAACATAGTTTCTTTAATTAACATATTGCAATATCTAAAAAGGTTTCTTTCAAATAGCTTTTTTAATTTATAGCTGTAATTCGAAAAGGATAAAATAAATACACACGAGATTCGTGTTGTCTAACAAGCCGCGGTGACATTTTGACGCGATGATTTTATGCCGTTGATAAATTTTCCATCTCGCACTCCGGGCTTTTATGCCGAAAGCATCATAAACATATGTCTTAATGGAAAAATTACGATACATACGCTTGTAAAGAATAATGAACATTAGGTTTTTGTAGCGAGAGTTTTACATCGGCCTAGGCGAAACGATCCTCGCGCACGATCCTCTCTTGCGACATAATGTCATAGATCATGGATCGCGGAGTGTGCGGATCATGAATCATGGATCATGAAACCATCCAGAGAGAGTCATAAAAATAGACAAAGAACTGCAATTATTGTCTCGAAATAGTTTAACTGCTTTTAAAAGATAATGATGATCGCACAATGAAGGCATTTAATCAGAAAATTTATTACAGTTAAATATATATATATTACATTATATATATATATAATGTGTCTTAGACCTGTCTACTTTTATTTTGATGATTGACTCTCCGGCTAATTTGGAGTCGATTGATAACGATGTGTCAAATTTATGCTGACGCGCAGCGTGGATATTCCGAGACTCGTCCCACGTTAAAGATCACACGAAACACCGAGTAAATTTAAAGTGGAAGAAGTAACATCGTGTGTCGGAGGCGACCTTGACATATAAGTACATACCGCGAACACTCTAAGAGAGCGCCTGCCCGCAGGCGAGAAGACGTAACGCGCACGCCGAATTCAATTTTACTTTCATCCGCGGAGGCGCTCTCTCGGAGGCGCACGGAGGATTCTGCGAAAATTGCTTTGACAATTCGTGAGACGGCGTGCGACCGACTTTTAAGGCGTCGGATTAACATGAGAACAGCCGGGCACCGGTGCTTGCGCGGCACTTAAATTCTCGATAGCGCTCGATCTCAGGAGGGGCATGAGATAGTCTTGTTCTTCTCTGACGACGCTTGGCGAGCTCGATACAAATCCGCGGCTGCTTCTGAGAAGCGGCAGAAGAATTATGGATATTCTGAAAAGCGATCAAGAATATTTGATTCCAGATTTCTCGATAAGAAATAGGAAATTAATCATAGTTGCGATTTTAAAATAGTAAAATAATTAGCAATTATATCATTCCTTTTTATTAATGATCTCGGAAATATTGCTGACATCATTACCAAGATAATAATGTTAATCGAGCGATGAATCGTTAGAATGCTATCTTTAAATCGTAGCTTCGAGCACAGTTTGTATGCAAAAAGAAATTAAATGACCAAGATCTCAATATCATCTCCGAGTTCATCTCGGGTTAAGATAGAAATATCATGTTGTGGGAAGATTCATTAATCATTCATGACGATGTAGTAATCATGATCGTATTTATGGCATATTTAACATAAACATAACTCATACAGGATTATGAGCCACTCTCCGAGCTACGAATCGTTATTTTGAAATTCTAGATTTGTATCAAAAACAACAAATTGCCAAAAGAGCTACAAATCAATAGTGATAAATGATACGACACATGATATTAATAATTGCCTTTCGCGAATACATCGAATTAATAAACATCATCGTATAGCCTCGACTTTTTGATGTTTAAAATGGAGATTTAAGAATATATACACGGACGGTCCTGATCGCGTCGTCGATGAAAATTCATCGACTTCGTTTTCAAAGGCTAATTAAAAGTTAATTAAACTTCGAGAAAGGTCGTCGGTCATCAATGAAATAAAGTAATTAGATTGACGTCATAACGGTGCGATGTCTGCACTTCGGATGTTATCAATTATACCAAAGTGTTCTCTGCATAATTGCAAAAACCGAGAGAGGAAGCTAATTATTGCATAAAAACCCTGATATTAAACTCTAGTATCAAATTTTTTATT